CAGACATTTGCCCCTGTGGCTAGTTTGATCACATTTTTTTTTAAAAGTTTTTTTTTTTTAAATCACATTTTTTTATCTTTCACCTTTTTTTTTTTTAGGCAAGGTCTCACTATGGAGTTCAGGCTGGCCTTGAACTCACCTTGTAGCCCAGGCTACCTCGAACTCTTGATGGTCCTCCTCCAGCCTATGGAGTGCTGGGATTACAGGTGCATGCCACAGTGCCCAGCTGTGATTTCTCACTGCTACATCATCTATCATAGGTGGCTTAGGTCGAATATCCTCCTTATACATAAGCACAGTATCCCTCTTCCTTGGTACCCTGGCCTTTTCTGCTGTGCCATAGTCTGTATGTAGCTAGGAGTTGAAACATGTTCTGTTCTAGAACTAATTGTTTTTCACACTTGGTTTATCAGTTTTAAGGTTAAAGTGTTCAAAAGTTGTATTTGCAGTATTCTGAGTATGCATATGGTGCTCATAGTGTTTACATTGGATTGGAATGACAGAAAAGGTGATACAAGTCTTTGCCCTAAATCACTGCAGCCAAATGGAGAATGATCCACGTATCAGGGAACAAACACGCTTCGTGTTTCTCTGTCAACCTCTTTGAATAGTGGTGGTAAACCCCTGGCATGCATGGCACAGGGGCTCTTGGCATCATCATTGAACGCTCTTAAAGGTTTGCCTTCACTGGCTTAGAACTAATAAACATAAAAATTATACTTGCTTTTTCTTTAAAATAGTTTTTTTATTTCCTTAGATTACGTAGTTTTTCTTTGCAATTTAAAAAAATTGGGGGTTGTTACCAGAAGAAATGCTGTTTAATTTCTAGATGTCGTTGTATATAAAGTCTGTCCTCAACAACAGAGCGCTCACTTGGACAAGGGCATGCTATCAGCTCCCTTGGGTGAGTGAGTTGAGGGACAGAGGCCTAAGTAAGTTCCCCAGAGTCACTAGTACTCTGCTGAGCAGATGTTGGAAAGCCCACTAGGCTGGTCTTTGCAGAGGTGTCTTGGATGTGCGTATATGTATCGAGAAGATGTGGTAAGAGCAATAGACATGGGAGTGGGATGAAGAATCAGTTGTGGAGGTAGACGATAGCACTCTGTAGTAGTAGTGTAGCCTACTGCAGTGTATTGTTTCGAAGATGATTACTTCAGTCTGCATTCAGATGTTACGGACTCCAGGAGAGTTTTGTTTATGATCTACCCAGATTTATAATTGAGTTCTTTGACTTTGAAGTCACAAAGATCATAGCTTTAGGAAAAATATAATTTGCATTTTTAAATATTGGTATCTATTTCTGTGAAGTTCTTGAGTTGGATAGAGAAGCATAGGTCATTTAAATGCCAAATACTCCCCAACTCCTCATACTTCTTGTTCCTACTTTGTTTTGAGATCACAGCTGTTCCTTCTCACTTTTTGGTAAATTACTGATAAGACTGAAGTATTTTCTTTTGTGAAATGTGACTTCCTTAAACTAAATTTGACTTGTTTTGTTCACCTTGGATTCCCCACCACCTAAAATAGTGGCCAGCACATACATTCAATAAGTGCTTGGTGACTGATTGATTGAATTGCAAGGATGCTTAAAAATAAAAGTCTGTATCAGAGGCAAGCTGGGCATGGTATCACACATAACCTGTTTTTTTTTTTTTTTTTTTTTTTTAATGTATTTAGTACAGGGTCCACAGGGTCGCACTGTACAGATCGCACTCGTAGTGATCTTTCCTGTTTTTAGCCTCCCAAGCATTGGGATTACAGGCGTGAACTACCGCTCATGCCCAGTCTCAAATCTCCATGTCAGTGTGCCCTGGGGCTGGGGCTGGCACTGCATGCTGGGGATTGAACCCCAGTCTCTGCATCTGTCTGACAGATGCTTTAATCTGCTAAGCTACCTGGCTGGCCCTATTCTTTTTGTATTCTTAAAAAAAGAAAAAGAATCAGAGGCAAGAGACTCTTGGAAGCATTATTAAAGACTTTTAAGTAGTTTTGCAAAGATAACCTTATAGAGAAAGAAGTCATTTAATTGTTTTGTCTAAAATATTACAACTTCCCAAACCAGTAGTCAATATTTTTTTCCATGGTAATCAGTACATAGTTAAAAGAATTCATGTTGTAAATTTCTGACATTGCCAGTCAAGCAGAAGACCCAATACTATTATGGACTACTGGACTTTTTGGGAATACATTTTGCTGAGTTAACACTTACAGTATTCAAATGACGGAACTAAACAAAAAAGGGGATACAGATGAATGTCCATTTTGTATCTGTGTATTCAGTTAGGATAGATATGTAGTTACATTCCCTTAATGAATAGAAGGATTTGTTTTAATATTGTTTGTAAATAAAATATAACGTCTGCATCTTTTTTCATTTCCAATCTGAGTTCCTCTATACCTTTCTGTAGCTGTTTGTTTATTTCAGAAGCCGTTGATTCATTGATTTCAGCTGTGTGATTCCCAGTTTGTTCTGTGTTAGTGTCCTCTGCACTTGTTATGGGTGGGCTTGGGTTCGGAGATTGCGTTTTGTGCCTTCTCATTGTCATTTTGTGTAGCACTGTCTTCTGACCTTTGTTGTGGAGCTTTGGTGCAGTTATGACCTTCACATCTGCTGAAGTTCAGGTGCAGATCTACAAAGTTTGGATCTATACAGTTGTGCCTGGCTTGGGTCTGGCTGCTGTGCTCAGCTCCTTCCTGCTGCTGCCCTTGGGGGTGAACCTGTTGTGCCCCTCTGGCAAGATTTTCTGCTCCTAGACTAGCTGGGTGGTTCTGTCCTCTACTCTCTCTGCAGGGATTGCAGCTGCAGGGTTTCACCCCAGGCCTGTATGCCAGGCCTGAGCTGAGTCTGGAGGGGACAAGGTAGAGTAGAAGGGAGAGGCAGTTCTCCCACACACTCACTGAGCCTGAGCTAGGACTAGATCTGGGGGTTCCGGGAATGCAGCAGAAATTCCTACTCGGTGGGCGGGGTGGAAGGGTGCTACGGAGTGGTGGGGGGTGTCCCAAGGGGGCGGAAGAGGGTCTCACCCACGCTGCGCCTGGGCTGGGACCGGTAGGTCCAGCTGGCACAGGGTAGCCAGAAGCTCTCCCACACACTCACCAGGCCTGGGCTAGGAGTGGATCTGGGGGTTCCTGGAACACAGCAGAAATTCCTACTCGGTGGCGGGGTGGGGGAGGTGCTGCATCTTGTATAGCAAATAACCATTAGGAAGAGAGTATGCAATGTGTTAATTATTGAAACTGTCCTACTAATTTGATTTGAAACTGTCTCATTGCTATTTGTTTCTCAATAAAATTACGGAGAAAAAAATGAAAAAAGAAAAAAAAAAGAATTCATGTTGTGTTTCTTTTCATCATTTTCTGACATTTATGTTTTATCACCTTTGCTATTGCTTTTTAGTCCTTGTTCTAAATGTTTATATTGCACATTACCTTTTTTAGCTATTAGTAATAATGGAAGATCTTGTGAAAAATGAAGGTACATGAATGGCTAGAGAAATTCGCTTTTCTTGTAGAGGTTTTTTTCTTCTTCTGCAACCTCCTTGTAGTGGGAGCAGTGTGTGTGTGTGTGTGTGTGTGTGTGTGTGTGTGTGTCTTTGTCATCACATATTTCTTATGCACTACCACCTCCATTTGTAAAGAGAAAAATAACACTTGAAAAAAGTTCTTGGGCAGACTACATAAAATTTGGCTAGTTTTAAAATACTTCATTGCTTGTGTATACTAAATCATTAATTTACATTTTATGTGACAAGCTGAGTAAACACTGTATACAAATGAAAGTTAGTACAGAGTAGTTTAGTGTAATAAAGTTGCATGGTCAGTTATCTATTCTTGCATAATAAATCCTCTAAAATTTTATGGCTTAAAATGCAAATGTGTATTACAGTTTTCAAGGGTTGGGAATATAAGTGTGACGTATGCCCCTGGTTTGAAGTTTGTTAGGAGGTTGTAGTGCAGCTTAGGCCAGGGCTGTGGTGGCCTGTAAAGGCTCTAGTAGGTAAGGGTCTGCTTCCATGCTCATGTGGCTATTGGCAGGACTCTGCTCTTTCAAAGCAGGGGAGCTGAGCATCTTTGTTGCATGTGTTGATTGGAGACTACAGCTCCATACCCTGGAACTCTCTCCATAGGGTGGCTTGCAGCATCACAGCTGGCTTTTCTCTGAGGGAGTCAGGGAGTACTTAAGCTAGAAGTCCCAGTTTTTTGTAACCCAGTCTCACCAGTGACCTCCTCTCACTTCTGCCCTCTTTTTTTCATGAGATGTGAGGTAGGAATTCTGAACCATTCAAGAGGAGGGAATTATAGAAGGGCCTGAGTATCGGGAGTTGAGGGGATTGTCAGAGGGCATTTTGGAGGCTGCCTGTCTACCCTGCATGATGTAGCATACCAGTGGCAATAAAGTCCACATGTGGTAAAGATATGTTTCTGTTCTACATTATTTTATTTTGCTAATTAGAGTAGTTAAAGCCAGCAGATGGCATCTAATTTTAGGAATCAGATTCTCTAGTTTTGGCCAGATGGGGTAGTGCATGCCTGTAATCTCACCACTTGGGAGGCTGAGACAGCTAGACTCCATAGTGAGGTTGAGGCCAGCCCAAACTACGTAGCCAGACCCTGTCTCAGAAGAAAAGAATTTAAATTTTTTTTTTTTTTTTTTTTTTTTGCAGAGCCAGGGATTGAACTCAGGCCATTGCGCTTGCCAGGGAAGCGCTTATTCCACTGAGCCACCTTCTGGGCCCTTTCAATTTTTTTATGGTAGAAATTCCAAAGCACTAAAGAATTTTGATTATTAAGTGTCCTGTAGAATGTACTGTATATGTAGTATAATAAATAGCTAGGAAGTTTGTGATTGAGAGTTAAAAAATGTTGTCAGGCATCTTTTGCCTTTGTTCGTTCTATTGTATAAAATCTCATTTTGAATTAGATTGATGAGCAGGAATTATATTTATATTTATTGTTAATATATCTTTTTCTATATTTCTCTGTTCCTCATTTCCTGTCAGATCGATCTGGAATAGAAAATGTCAACTCTGTGGAAGCTTTACAGGAAACCCTCATTCGTGCACTAAGGACCTTAATAATGAAAAACCATCCAAACGAGGCCTCTATTTTTACAAAGCTACTTCTAAAGTTGCCAGATCTTCGATCTTTAAATAACATGCACTCTGAGGAGCTCTTGGCCTTTAAAGTTCACCCTTAAGGCCTTTGTTTATTTGAACATGAACTGATAACTAACTGTACATTTTGTGCTAAAATGCTTATTTATATGTGTGTATTATATGTGGAGAAAGAAAAGACCTTTAAGACAATACAAGATTGTAGGCTATCTCTATAATCAAGCAATAGCTGTTTGGATTGAGAACTCTTCAGCCATGATTAGATATTGATCGCATCTCCCCAATAGACCAATCAGCTGTGTTGCACTTAAACTGGAGAAGTTACACTGAATTATCATCACACTGAATGTTAGACGTTTTCATCTGCCAAAACCAAAAACCATTTTGATCTCCCTGTGGTATAGATATGATACACCCTCACAAGTCTCAGAAATTAATCCTTTGTGATAAGATGTGCTGTTGAGTGCTGGAAATCTTGGTGTTGCCAAAACCTTTTAGAGCTGGTAATTAGAGATTTGGGCAGCTAGGAGATCTCCGTGTTTGTATTTTACTCTGCCACTGTTAATCTTGATGATCCTGGGCAGGTTACTTGGTTGTGAAAAATGAAAATTGATAGTGTCCCCAATGCCCCACATCTCAGAGATACTAAAAATGTCTATAAGAGCATATTTGCCTCTTGGGAGATAGGCACTATGTAAATAAGGTAATTTTTTATTATTATTCGTAATAATACTTTTGTTGTTTCCAAGCATTTCTGGGAAACCATTTGAGAGTCTATACCAGTCTGTTATTCAGGGTTCCTTGCGTATGTGTGGGGTATCCTGCTGACACACGCATATTCACAGTTTATGGATACATCAAATACATAGTATGTGTACATAGTATGTATGTGAATAGTTATACATAAATATATTTCTTCACAATATTTTAAACTGTGAAGAAGTTTATCATACAATAAACTTAAGAGGTGTCAAAAGACCCAAATTAGGTGCATTTTACCTGTTGATGATTATGTAACCATTGCTTTAAAATATTTAGACAATAGAATATTGACTTTATTCACTATTTTTATTAATTTAAGCAACACTTAGTCCAACTTTCAAAAATATATTTCAGATCTCATCTTTGGTAAAAATCTTTGGTTCAAGGTACTAGTTTTTTAAAACTTCATTCAGATTCTTACCTTGTGCTAATAAGGGTTGCAATGCTGCCCCTTACATACATGCTGCAGCTCAATGATAAAGAATTTTGGTCCCTTTTGGAGATTAATATTTAAGGCAACTGTTGGCATGTGTTAGCATGTATTTGTGTGCGTGCATACACACACAAACACACATGTGTGTGTTTGTGTTGAGTCCACAGTTTTTTTTCTAACACTACAAGGATTTTGTCAAATTAGATTTAATCTATAATTTGAAAAATCAGTGTGTGACCTAGAAATGGCTTAGAAATGGTACAAAGACTTCATCCTTGGTTCTAAGAATGGACTTTATGAAACAGAAAAGATGAGCTTCTGTTTGGGAGAAATAGTCCAAATTGAGGATTTTATGTGTGTTTTCTGTTTCCCTGGAAAAGAGCAATTAATTGGATTTGTGGTAAGGATTGCCTTCTGTATAATGTTTAGATGTTATAAAATTATAAATGTTAGGAACTTGTTTCCATCAAGCCTGTTACTTTCATGTCATGAGCAGAATGCCTTATTTTGTAATCTTGAATAATTTGTTGTTACTGAGATTTTAATTTCTGTGGCATGTGTAACTTGTTTTTTTTAAAAAAGGATGACCCTCTCATTGTAAAGGAGGAAAGGAGATGGTGATAGAATATGACATAAGCCGTAATTGTGATTTACCTTATGTGGGTATGACTTCTATGGGATATACAGTTAGAGTTTTGTGACATCTTTACATGGTAGCATTATCTTTTTATATTTTTCCTAAGATAAACAAATGCATAGTTTTCTCTATGATGGATTGAAATGGCTTTTTGAAATAATACTGAAAACCTCAAAGATCGTGTTGATTCTTTTTTTTTTTAAATTAAAAAAATTTTTTTTTGTTGATTCTTAATTTTTGCTTTTTGCATAAGCCTCTTTTATAACATGTATCTTTTAAAACAATTAAGTCTTTAGGAATGTGTAACCAGGACTATGTTAGTATTGCTTATAAAACTTTAGTTAGGTTCAGTATATACATGTATATGTCCATACATAGGTATATAGATTCACATTTTGTCTTGTAAAATTTTATTTGAGTAAATCCTACCTGTAATAATGGGGAACAAAATTAATAGTTCATATTGCCACTCATAGCATTTCTATATTTGAAAGTAGTCCAATATGAAACTTGTAATTCTAAAATTAAACCAGCAGCCTGCTACAAGCACATTTTTTGATTGAGTTGTGGTTACAAACTTACTAAATGCAAAGAGGACACTAATAGAAGACATCAATTTAGGGAACTTCTGAGTCAGTGAGACACTGTTGATTAACGTACTGTATGAATTCAGTGATGCTTTAACTCTGATTTTGCATATTAAAGTTAAAATATGGGCATTATGTCAGGAGTATTAAAGGCATTATATCAGCAAGCTAAAACATTTTTTTTCCCTGCGCTTTTAATGTATCTCTACATGGTCTAAGAAGATTCCAGCTTTCAGAGAGAGAACTGAGCAAAAGGGGAAACATCTTGGGATGAAGCTTGTCTTATGGTGATGTTTTAATTACAGATTATGAAGCCAGAAGGAAAGTGCCGTGGGTTAAGTGTATATTAAAATATTTCATATTTACATTTCAATAAATTGCCATTGTAACTTGATAAGAGATGATTTATTTTATGTAAACATTGCCAAGCAAGGTGTAGAAGCTCAGCTAGATTTATTACTGTGCACGAGAGTAAATGCCTATCAATTATTCTCTTTTTTTTTTCAATATAAAGTTTGCTGAATGTACAAGAAAAGTTTATCACTTAGGATATAGAATTTTTTTAGGGGCTGGTGGGAGGGACTCTGTCAGGAAATTGTTACTTACAAATGCTGTCTTGATTTGATCCAAAAAATAAAACCATAAAACTATTCTTGAGCTAATGTGGAAAAATAAAATGGCTACTGTTTTAAAAGTGATAGAAATATATTGCTGACAGGTTATGAGTTATTTTCTATAAACTGTAATTGACATGAATAATATCTTCATGTTTCTGAGAAGTAACCTGTACAAGGGGGAGGGGATAATAAATATTATTTCTAACCAAGAGTGATGTTTTGTGTTTGCTTCAATGTTCTTGTAAAAAACATCTCTCATTTAACTTACTACAAGTTAGTCTTTCCCCTGAGCAGAGCAGGATTTCTTTCTTTTTTTTAATTTTAATTTTTATTTTTCAAAGTTTTATTGATAAACAGATAGCAATGAGAGAGTTTCAAGTCAAATCAGAAGTACAGTTTCAACAAATAATACACTGCATGTATTCTTCTTAGTGGTTAATTGCTGTACAAGATGTGGACTTGTGATCCTATTTACAAAC